TATTTTTATATTAAATATTAACAAATTATCCTTCACCGATAACACTTACCTGTATAAACTCGAATAAGTCCAATTTAAGCACCTCTGGCTGGAAAACAAAGAATTAATAAGATAATTATTTACTTCGATATCTTAAATAAGTGTAAAAGTTTAAGCTGGTAAAAAACTCTTTTAAATTTAGGCATAGAAAATCGTAGATTTCTAAATAAAAAAAAAGAATTTCATTAGGAATTGATTATAAGCATCTCCATTGTCTGATATAATTTAATCATATGATGAATATAATTTGTATTGATGTTTCAAAGATTTTCCAGCATGACAAATAAAAAATTGTGTACAGCATTTTGAAATTGAAATGTTCTAAACTAATTTAACCTTACTAACCAAACTTGGTGTAACATTTACAAAATTTCGTTTGATAACAGAAAAGGCATGTGGGAAATATCAAACGGAATTTTGAAAATGTTTAGGTGCAGCATTTAGAAATGAAAATGTTCTAAACTAACCTACACTTACAAACTTGCTGTAACATTTTCCAAACTCCGTTTGATAACAGATAAGGCATGTGGGGAATAGAATTTTGAAAATGTTACAGCAAGTTTGGTTGGTTTGGTTAGATTAGAACAGTTTCATTTCTTAATTTATATTATTTTTTCAATTTTTATAAGAACTTAGAAGCTACATGGTGAAAAACTACAGCGCGATATCCCAAGCCAACCAAACATTTTACCCACTTTTTCGATGATAGTGCGTTTAATATACAGTATATTATCGCATGGAAAAAATAGTTACATAATCGTATTCAGCGTTGAATTCCGCACAATTTAAATACCTTAAATGTTTGTTTTAATATGAAAACCATTACGTCTTTTTTAAGATTTTTCGTGTTTATTTGACTTTTCTGGGGGAAACGATAGTGATTTTTTAAATTTAGGACGTTATTTAGCATCATAAAAGTGTAAAAAATACTATTTTAACGTAACGTCTGTGATCGATTTATTTACCCCTTTGGTAAATTACTTAAAAGCATTAAGAACATAGGTACAATTCATATAAACAATGTAGCTAACCATATTTACTCATTTGGACCTATCCAATGATGGGCAAATTCAGGTCAAAAAGAAAACTTGAGTCAAGAAATTAGATTCACTCAGATACAGAACCGGATAGTACAATGTAATCACACATTTCAACCAGGGTTTGTATACTTCCACGGCTACTTTATTAAAAGTAAGTTACACGCAAAAGATGCAACTATCGCTTAAGCTGATAAGAGGAACTTTATTGTTATTTTTTACAAATGCAGCAGTTAACTAAACACAATGTTATGAACACTAATAGTTATAGCATTCAAACCATCAAGGAACATATCGTCCCCATTAATTCATGAAACTTCTAAAGAATAATCTTGACTAAAAATTCACATAATAGATACATCCCAAAGAGCAATTATTAAGATTAACCAAAACAGCCAAAACGGAAATCTTTATCCTGGAAATAGCAACACAACCCGTTGGTTAAATACAACGGTCTGTAGAACAATAGTAAATAATAATATGACTTCTTGATCAGCATTGAACGTGTTATTAAATTTACGGAAAGTAAATAAAAGAAACGTCTTATAACACATAAAACATATATTTACGCTTATACGCTCACAAGACGGTAAATATACATTCACCTATTGGGTCTGATGATGATTGGAGTGTCCAATCGAAATCGATCACCACTTACCATCTTTTTTGTATATTTGCCGTCTTGTGAGTAGCAGTATAAGCGTAAATATATGTTTCAAGTGTTATATGACGTTTCTTTTATTTACTTTCCATAATAATATGCATATACAAATGTCAATTATGAACAACAAAATGTAAAGAAAGAAAAATTTAGAAAATAACAATACAACGATCAGCTGTTAAATTATTAAAACATGTTCCATATGATCAGATCATGCATACCATGGATGAAGCTTTCCGTTGTCATATTAGTTTATAAAATCGGTTTAGTAGAACTGCAGATTTAGCTGTACAACATTTAACAAAAACATCTCTAATTAAAAAATTTCCCAACACTATAAATTTGGACGTTGCTTGCATTTTACTAATGACTTTAAAATGGTGAGGAAATTGACCAAAGTGGAAAACGATAGGTATTCTGATAAAGAACATTTTCTACAAATTACTGTAATGGATTTCTTGAAAATACTCAATAAAGAGAAACTAAACTTGGCTACAAATAGAAACTCGAGAAAACTATGTTTAATGTATTTTTTGTATAAAACATGTGTTTTTACCGTTGCACCATATTATATCTTTATTGAAATCAAACGTTCATAATTCTTTGCAATTCTATACGAATCTAGCTTTCCAACGACCCAAACAAAATTGATCTAGTATTACTGTAGATTTAGTTGTACAAAGTTTAACAAAAATATCTCTAACTCGGTATTTTCTCGCCACAATAAACTTGGAGGTTGCTTAGCTTTTTGGCAAATTCTTTATAGTGGGGAACTCGACCAAATTGGAAGGTGATATTCTGAAAGAGAATAAAACTGTCTGCAAATTACTTATATGCATTTCTTGAAAATACTCAATAAAGACAGCCTAAACATGCCCATAAGAATAACATGGGAATTCCACATGTTTCTAGAATTTTCTTTTGTGTACAACAACGCTTTAATATACTGTACAACAGGCTGGTATGAGCAAACCTGACTATTGCCCACAGGAAAAATAAGACTTGGAATTTATTTTTTTTTATTTACGAACAATTCAATAGTGTAATAACGCAATTACATTTACCACCCCACAAACTGCTACCCATGTTGATTAGTACACATCAATTAATAGACAAAAATGGTTGAACACAACTTAATACAGTACAGCAACAACATCTTACCTTTCCGTCCGATGGACCTCGTACAAGAACCGCCTGAAAATATTATTGTTTTAGAAGATGAAATGAACTTTGATGCATTCACTAAAATTCATGTTTTTGACCCTCAACGAGGAAAAGGTTTTAGTTGAAGTCTTCGATTTTTTTGAACAATCATTGCAATAAATAACCTCACAACAAATTTGTTTTTGTCCATATAAGATATTATTTTATAACCAGCTGTGTGCCCGTTCTACGCACGGGAATCTTATAGTATTCAGTTGAAACCTTCTTATATTAAGAACAGCAGTTGGTTTGCATATTTTCAGATATGCTGACAAAACTATTATATAGCCTATAAACCTTCGCAAATACAGTATCTGACAGTTTAAAGCCAAAACAAATGCTTCGCAATTAAATGTCACCCGCATCGTGTTGGTCCATATGTTAAATCCAATGATTAAACTAAAAAATGATTTATAAATCTATGAAGAATAGCCCTAAGGTAGGCCTATAATTGAAAGTTACTTTCCACAATTGTTAAAAGTATTTAAGGTACTACCTCAACCTCGCCATTTAACACTTTATTCCGGTTGACATTTTCACTATGAAAGGTGCTCTTGTCCTCTCCGTGAAACACTGAGGAATAAGGACATTAATGTAATGTGTTACCAACAGACATACACACAAAAGAATTTTATTAGGGAATTTGCTACGCTTTAAGCATAACAAAGTACATATAAAATTAGTATTTGAAATCTGTGTGAATGTCATCAAATTTTATCACAACAATTTATATTTGCTAAGACCGAAAAAGATGACCCGAAATGCTCTGTCAAAATGACGGCTTACTATATGAAATGAAGTACTATAGACGATTTAGATTGGTAATTTAGAATACAAATTACCAAAATAGGCCACGAAGTATTGATACATAAACAGCGTAAAGCGTAAACAATTCATGATGGTTTGCTCAACAAATGTTTTACTCAAATGCCTTATCATTTTCTTAGCATTAACTAAAATTTTGGAATCCAGACAGAAAAAACAACACTTTATACAGTTAAGACATCAATTAAATTGAATACGGCTGTAATAAATAAGGTGCAACACAAACGATCACTAATTTGTAAATTACAGTGATATGTTGGTACGTAAAAATGATTCTTGCAGCTACCAACGGTCCTAAGGCAAAGAACCAGAACAAAAAACCAACGTTTACAGTTAAGAACTATAGTACATCCGACCATTTAAATTCATTAATCAAATCCCGAGGTTATTGATCTTTTGGTTTTGGATTTTCTCGTAAAAAGTATTCGGAAATCAAAGTTATTTCCAATTAATTGTTGTATTTGTAAACAACTTTTAATGTAAACTTATCGGTGTTAGTTAAAAAAAAAACAATATTATCCTAACAACTTTTTGTTATTTAATAGATTACGTATTCTCCAAACAATTATTATTGTTTATTATTGTTATTGTTATTACCCAATGTTCGCGTATTGGGTCTGATGATGATTGGAGTGTCCAATCGAAATCGATCACCACTTACCACCTTTTTTGTATATTTACCGTCTTGTGAGTAGCAGTATAAGCGTAAATATATGTTTTAAGTGTTACAAGATGTTTCTTTTATTTACTTTCAATAATAATATGTTTATACAAATGTAAATTTTGAACAACAAAATGTAAACAAAGATAAATTTAGGAAATAACAATACAACAATCAGCTGTTAAATTATTAAAACATGTTCCATATGATCAGATCATGCATACCATAGATGAAGCTTTCCGTTGTCATATTAGTTTATAATACCCCCGCCACAGCAAACCTGCCGTCTTAGCGAATTTCCACTTGGCTGAATTGATTTTCAATTGATCTACTTAAATAACATTAGGTTTAACGAGTACCTAGGTTTGCTGCTACAAGGAAACTAATAAAGTGTGTGTTTTAAGTAAAATAATTATTGCTTAGTATAAAATGAATATATTTGCCAAGTTCGATCAAAAGATATCCATAAACAAGCAAACTACAACATTTTACAATATTCTCCATAAGAATAGCATGGGAATTTTAAATTTGCCATTTTTTTTAGTTTTCTCCGTAACCAATAACCGTACAAAAACACTTTGATATTCTGAATTGTTTGTTTTTTTAAGCTCTTTAAGAAGGTTTAGAGGAAAATTGGGAAATTTTGTGTTTTGAGGGTCAAAAGTAAGAAAACCAATTTTTACCCCATAAAACCCCGTTTCCCATGGTCCGATCATGCTGGATCGCGAACTCATTCAAGTTTATCCCGCCTTACACCTTTAAACCAAATTTCATCAAAATCGGATAAAAATTACTCAAGTTATCGTGTTCACGGACACACACACACACACACACACACACATACGGGGTTTTACCGAATACTCGCAAACACCTAATTGTGGCATCTTTCAACCTGCGGCCACCAGTGGATGAAGGAAGGTGGTGGAAACATGTCTGCATCGATATTTTTAATGAACACTCCATTTTAACATCTAACATTCCAGTTTTTAAATTGTGGCACCATGCCACAAATCGGTATATATCAACAGTGTGTGGACAGGATGCCACTAATGCGTTGTAGTGCTTGAGCGGTGTGTGCGCCCCCCCTACTTCTCGCGTGCGCTGTTGCCAGTTCTCCGTTCTAGTTCCTTCATTCCGTTCTGTATTCATGTGGCTATGCCCTAGCCGCTGTAGCTCATTTCCCGCGCTCATGACGTCGTCTTTTATTAGTGTAAGGATTTTATATGAAGTGTTTTTCAAAGCTCCAATAATTTTACAATTATTGGATTTAAAGGCAATGGACCAAATGAAATGTCGTGAGGATTACATAAAACTACATGCTATTTTGTTGATATTTTATCGTCACATTGTATGTATGGTTTACGAACTGAGATACTTGGAATAAAGGCCTTAATGTGCTGGGTAAATTATCAGTTTCATGGGAATATACAAGAAATCTATTCTATCTATATATTAATTACGTAAGCCGATTCTTTGCGTCAAAATTGTGGGCGACTGGGAAGACGTAGAACGACGTGAGAGGGCTCAAATTAAAGGTCTTTATCCCGTGACGGCGGGAAAAATAGTGAAATTCCCAAAATCTTAACACAAAATTAGATATAACGTACAATGTTCTCCATAAGAATAGCATTAGAAGGCATTTACTGCTGATTTTTGTTTACTTCAATCCAGCTGATCGTGATTTTATCATTAGCAAGTAAGCTTACATTTGGATTACTCATTTGCCAGTCAATTCTGCGATGTAATGTATACTATATAAAACCAACTATATAAAGGGATAACGTTACCTTTAATAATCAAGACTTTTTAGTTATGTCAAAGTTGAAATAAATTGTTTTCAAGATTTAAGAAACGATTCAAGATTAAAAGAAGATCTTCTTTGTTTTTATTTCAAAACATATGTTCCAATTTTTTTTTAAATTTACTAACATTTATATTTGGGATTTATTGTAGTGTTTAATCAATATTTTGTATGAAGTGGCATAACCTCAACGGTTACTCTTAAAAAACAATTTGGGAATATTCTCCTTCCTCGCCAACTAAAAGACAAAACCCAAATAGATGAGGCTATCGATTTGTTTGTCACTTCCATTCGTCTCTCAGTAGAACAAGCAACGGTTCGTCAGTTTAAACCTAACAAATCGTTTTCCTCAATTCCTCGATACATCCTGTCCCTTATTAATTTGAAGAATAGACATAGAAGATTATGGCAACGCTACAGAACTCCTTCTTTTCGCAGAAGATATAATCAGCTCATTAGACGAGTCAAATGGGAATTAGACCGATTCAGATACGAATCTTATAACAAATATGTATCAAATCTGTCCTCTGATGACAACAACTCCTTATGGCTCGCAACTAAACGAATATTGAAAGAACGCACCCCAATACCCAGTTTAATAAACAATGGTCAGGTATATGAAAGCAAAACAGACAAAGCTAATATTTTAGCCGATTACTATCAGCGTTCATTTCGTCCGAATGATGAATTTCAAGACCCTGAATTTTCAGCTCATGTTGCCACAGTTAATTCCTGCCCACTTATCACGGTGGAACGGCCAATTAAATATACTTCTCCATCTGAAATCTCTAACTTCATCAAGTCGCTAAGAATCAAGAAAACTCCTGGATACGACGGAATACCTAACATTATTTTACATAATCTACCACGAAAAGGACTTGCTTTCCTTGCTTCTCTGTTCAATGCCTGTCTCACAAAATCATACTTCCCGCGAATGTGGAAACATTCTCTCATAATTGTCATCCACAAACCTGGAAAACCTGCATCGCAAGTAAATAGTTATCGCCCGATTAGCCTCCTCCCCACATTGTCTAAATTGTTTGAAAAAATCATTAAGCAACGCCTAGACTCCTACGTAGATAGTGCTTCCCTAATACCTCCTCATCAGTTTGGTTTTCGCTCCCAACATTCCAAGAAAATGTCATACTTCTGCAGTTTTTCTTGATGTAAGTCAGGCCTTTGACCGTGTTTGGCACGATGGTTTGTTGTATAAACTAAGAAAGTTCGGAGTCCCCTCCTACCTACAGAGAATTATTGAAAGCTTCCTTGAAGATAGAACGTTTTCAGTTAATATTGATGGCTCCCTATCAACTGCCAGACCAATTCAAGCCGGAGTCTCACAGGGAGCAATTCTTTCACCTCTATTATATAACATTTACACCTCTGACTTGACATTGTCAAACCATGTCCAAACAGCCGTGTTTGCTGATGACACCCTACTCTACTCTACACACCATGATATCGAAGTTGTGGCCAATAACATTCAAATTTCCTTAAACGATTTGGTGGAATGGTTTACAAAATGGAGAATAGCCATAAATCCGACGAAGAGTGAAGCGAAGATTTTTACCCTCCGAAAACCGTTAGATCCTCCAAATTTAGAAATTCTAGGTGAACAGATTGCATGGAACCCTCCTGACCAAGCAATAAAATATTTAGGTGTATACTTCGACCGAAAGTTAAATTGGAAATTTCATATTAATA